CCGCTTGAGCCAAATTTAGTATCAGTGATTGTTGAGCATCAATTTAGGTCTCCTTAAACTGCCTTCCTGGTATGAAGTTCTATTTTAATATTAAACAAAGGACACCTGTAGACATGTTCTGTCTCTGGGTGACAGATGCTTAGTGCAGGGCTCAAGAACTGTATATGTTTAAGAACAGAGTACTGATTTAAGTTGCAAACTAGAGAATCCAATGTTTCTGAGCTAAATTCAATAGTGCTTAGAGTACAGACTCTGCACGTGCATGTCTCTACCACTGCAGTCCTAATAGCTCCTAACAGCTACTGCATCATCACCACCATCACCACTTCCATTAGCCCTACATGGTCTCCTATGGGATTGTCCCCTCCAACTTTGGTCCAAAGTTGCTCTGATAGAAAACTTATCAGGTGTGATCTCTGGCCTGGCTTCTGAGAGCCAGAGGGCAGGGCTGTGAGTTCCTCTCCCAAAATGCTTCTCCTCCCCGTCCATAGTTACCTGGGCTGAGTGGAGTGCTGACACTAGTAGGTGCATGTCTTACTTGGGGTGTTTTGCATGAGGCTTCCTTAAAAGAGCCATCTGGTTCATAGGAGATATTAGACAGATCGTGAATGTCTGTCAATGATCTAAGCAGTGAAAATACACAGTTATTGTGAGAAGTTAGAAAAACTGAACAATATACCTCCAATTCTTAAACCACACTCTTGAAAACAATCTTTGGCAATAGGTCAGAATTAGCAAATATCACAGAGTATCTTAAAGAGAATACAGCTAGGGCCGGGGATTTAGCTCAGTGGTTCTGCTGCCTGCCTTGCAAGCACAAGGACCTGAGTTCGATCCCCAGTACCAAAAAAAAACCCGAGAGAATACAGCTAAAATCTGTTTCCTTAGATGAAAAATATTTATGTGGAAAATGTATATATATATTCTAAAATGTATATATTCTACATCAAGTATAAACTATTATCATTGCATTTCCTTGATCACAAGAAACTATTGGATATTTGTTATAAATCACATAATCAACTTTTGGTGAATGAAGAAACACATTAAGTCCATACATAAAGATAGAAGGAATGCTGGTTCTTATAAACAAGAAAATATTATTTCCATAAAATCAAGACATTACACAAGCACTCTTAGGCTACTCTTTGACACCCTTACATATCTTTTTCTTTCAGTTCCTTGGGTGGCTCTTTTAATGTCTCTTTTGTTCACAACATTCAGTACTGTGAGAGATAAAGTAAGAAAAATACTTTGTCATTGAAGTGCACTAACTTGATAGAAGGAACCAGTTTACTGGGCCAGTGTAAGAAGCACTGGGAAAGGGATAAGCTCTAAAGTAAAAAGTGGTAGCGTAGGTTAGCTCTAAAACGGCCCCCAGAGCCTCAAGTGTTTGGAAAGTGAATGGATTACGGGGATGTTATAGCTGACTTTCTGTTAGGAGGTGGAGTCTGGTCAAAGGAGGCGTGTCACTGTGGGTGTGACCTGCAGGGGTGCATCTCTCTTCCCAGGCCTTCCTTGACTCTCTGCTTCCTGACCACCAAGCCCTGCTCTCCTCTGCCACATTCTTCAGCCATGCTCTCCTGCCATGTAGCAAGCTGATGTTGAACTGAAACATGAATCAAAATAAACCTCTCCTTCCTGAAGTTGTGGGTGTTGGATATTCTGTGCCAGCAATAAGGAAAGTGACTAACACAGGTGGGTTCTGGTTCTGGCTCTGCTGCTAGTTAGCCACTAGTTTTCTGCCATGTCTGGGCCTCAGCTCCTCCCTGCAGACTGAAGAAACACACTCTAAGGGTCAGCCCAGCCCTAAAATCTGCCAATGACTCTGACAGTGAGCAAGTTCCTAAGAGAACCAGTGGGGCACAGGAACCTCACTGGAGGTCGATGCTGGAGTGAGGGGCACAGCCTTGAGGCTTTAGCAGTCATGAGACGGCTTCTTGGTACAGAGTCCCAGAGAAGATCAAGAGACACTTGTACCAGAAAATAGCCAGGTTTCCACTAGATCATGCCCTTTTCATCCACTAACATTTCTACCTGGCTGTCTTTTCTTCATCGAATCACAGCAAACAAAACAAAACAAACTAAAACAACCAAAAAAAAACCCTAGGCAGTTTCCCTGGGCTTTTAGGTCTTCATTTTGTTTTTGAGACCTTCTACATTTCCTTTGGTTCAAGGTCCTGAGTATGACCAAGTGCTATATTTCAAAGACAAATTTTACCCATTTCTACTTTCACCAATATTAAGATTCAAGGGCCAGGGATTTAACTCAGTAGCACCAGTGGCATCAAGCCTACCTCACAAACACAAAGTCCCGAGTTTGATCCCCACATCAAAAGAAAAAATATGGATTTGGGGTTGACTTGTAACTTTATTAATTATTTTCACCAAAAATATTTGTTCCCCCTTTGGCCCTCTTAATTTACATAAATTGCTATGTGACTCATTTTAATCAATGAAATATGAGTGAAGTGGTGGGTCACCTCTACCTAGAAACTTTAAAAGCCAAGGTATAATTCACCAGGTTACATTTTTTCCCCTGCCTCTCCAATCAAGGAAGCTAAAAAAAGATGGAGCCTCTTTCAGCCAGATTCCTTGAAAGAATACAGTACCAAACATTCCTAGCCAACCATGAGCTATGAACACAGAGCATGATCAAGAAGTAAACTATCACCAGGCATGGTGGCGCACAGCTGTAATCCCAGCACTCAGGAGGCTGAGGCAGGAGAATCGCTGTGAGTTTGAGACCAGCCAGGTCTACATAGTGAGTTCCAGGTCAGTCTCAACTACATAGTGAGACCCTGTCTCAAAAAAACAAAACAAAAAAAAAGAAGTAAACTGTCAGCCAGGCCCAGAGGCACTCCCCCATAATCCCAGTTACTGGGAGACTGAGGCTGGAGGATAGAAAGTTTAAGTTAAACTTGGGCAATTTAGTAATTTAGCAAGACCCTATCTGGGGCTGGAAAGAAGGCTGGAGATGTGAGGTGAAAGAAAAGGAGAGGAGGGGAGGGAGGAAGGAAGGAAGAAAGAAATTTTTGTGGTTTTTAAACCATTAAAACTGGGGGAGGGTTTGATATATAGTCTATCCTAAATGGCTGTATAACCTTAGAAAAAAATATTTCAACTCTGAACTGTGCTTTTTTTATTGGCAAAATTAGAGATACCTGTATATATCTCAAATTGTTATTATGTGGATTAGACAATTTAGTATCTGGCATTTACAAAATAGTTAGGATTACTAGCTTAGTTACTATAATTAAGGAAATTGAGGCCCAGAAAGAGAAAGTGAATTCAATGTTATTGTCTTAGACACATTTTATTCCTACTATTAGGACTTTATTAAAGTTTTATTTTGAGATAATTATAGACTCATATGCAGTTGCAAAGAAATACAATTAATCCAGTTTCTCCAAGTAGTAACATCTTGCAAATCTAAACAGTATCACCACAACACTGACATTGAAACAGACAAGATATGGACCCTTTGCACTACCACTAGATCCCTCGTGTTGCTCATCTATTGCCAGCCTACATTCTTTTTTTTTTTTTTTTCCTTTGTGTACTGGAGATCGAACTCAGGACCCTGCACTTGTGAGGCAGGCTCAGGGCCATTGAGCTCAATCCCTGGCAGCCTATATTTATCTGTTCTTTATTTCTATAAATGTATCGTTTTCAAGAATGTTAATAGGGCCAGGATTTAGTTCAGTGGCACTGTGTCTGCCTTGCAAGTGCCAGGTCCTGAGTTCAATCCCTGGTACCAAATAAAAAAAAAAAAGGTTAATTAAAGGAATCATACTCTAGAAAAGCTTTGGGAATTGCCTTTTCCACTAAACATAATTCTCTGGAGATTTCTCTAGCTATTATAAGCATCAGTAGTTCATTCTTCTTTGCTGCTGAGTACTGCTCCAGGGTAAGAATGTTCCATGTACCAGTCTGTTTAACCATTCACATAGTGAGGGCATCTGGGTTTTAAACTGGAGGCAATTAGAAATAAATTTGCTATAAATATTCAATATTCTTTCTTTGAGATAAGTGCCCAGAGTTAATTATTACTTGCAATTCCTATGTCAAATGCTTAGTAAGGGTTCTTATCCTTATTTTACAGATGGAGAAATAGAATAGAGGGGCAAAAACCTGTGATCAAGGTCACATGTCAGGGCTGGGTGTGGGGGTGCAAGCCTGTAAACCCAGCACTTGGGAGGCTGGGCAGGAGGATCACTGCAAGTCCAAGGCCAGCCTCAGCTACATAGTGAGTTCAAGGCAAGCATAGTGAGACCCTTGTCTCAAAAAAAAAAAAAAATCACATGTCAAAGTCAGGACTTTGGTACAAGTAATGACTTCTTTTCACTTCCTTCAAATTCTACTGAAAATGTCCTAACAAAGTTAGGCTGTCCAAAGCTAATTTTTATGATAGTGGCTAGTACATTTGAAGATAGGCAATATATAAATATTCAGCATTCTCCCATTTAACATTGTTTCTAAGTGTAAACTGACTAAGATTATAAAAGCCCATACCTTTGTACTAGTTGAAACTGAGACCTGGTGAAAATCTCAGTGTTCTTTCCAAAGATTTTCTTCATTTGGAACTTTTCCTTGTTTGAAACAATAAAGAAAATTATTTTCTTAAATTTTTCCTAAACCAGATTATTCTCATGCCCTAGAATTTCCCTTGCTCTGGTCTAGAATGAGAAATAATCTGCATTTTTTAAAAAGTGCTTCCCTAATTGGGTTTGGACTGAATGCTCTGGAGGAGGTTTTTGCCCAGAAAGTTTATTTGCCTTGGTCAGAGGACAGGACTATATTCTGACACTCAGAATACAATCAAGTCATTCACTAGCCTTTCAGCTATAATCACACAGTTAATCCTGGAAACAAATGTTGCTTTGTCTTTCCAAAAAGGCAAACTGACCCAATTTCTGTCAACAGACACCAGAGGGCGTTAAAACCAAGTGCACTCATTCACTAAAGATTCCAAACAGGAAAGACCGTTAGATGTGAATTCCCAGAGCGCTAACTGTGCTCTTGGCCATCAAACATCACCTAAAGAGAGGAGGTGGGGAGCAGGGTCTTGAGCACCGAGCAGCTGATCAGCTGTCCTCAGTTCTCCTTGGCATCAAGCATCTCAGGTTATCGCTCCCTGATTGTCGCTAAGAGGATCTTCAGATAGCTAGCCAGTAACCATTTGCTCTCCCATCATCGGTGAGTTCACAGACATGGGGACAGCTGGAGCACTCTACCCCGATTCCTAAGATCACGACTCCCCCACTCCTCCCCACCTCCTGAGTTGGTCACAGAGCCACCTTAGTGATTCCAACAAAGGCAGAAACCCCACCAGTAGTGAGACACTGAGGCTTCTCTTACTATGACTGTCTCTTAAGATAACACCTAGAAAGCATAAACTAATTCCTAATGAGCACACTCTAGAGCCAGAGGGTACTTAAGAGAGTGTGGACTCAGACCCTCCAGTGCTTCACATGAGGGAGAGTGGGCCCTGGGATGAAGTGACTGCAACTGCCCAACTGCGCAGAGTTAGTGGAACAACAGGGCTGGGAACCCAGCATGTATCGTACTGTTCCTGTTACGGCTCTGGGCATGGAAGAAAATATAGACCAGAGCCCGGGAGACGGGGGGTCACAAAGTAGAAATGCAAGGCTTCTGCCTACTTCACGTTTGTGTGGGACTGGCCCTGGGTGTCTGACCTATCTACATTACCACTCCTCCATCCCAGTCAACCTCCTCCACACCCAAGTAAAGCGGCCATGTTCACCCAAGCCCACAGAGAGCGACCGTGAGTAGAGCCTCTGCCAGAAAGGGTGGGTGCTCCAAGACCCTGGTGACTTTTAGTACATAGCCTGAGAGTGTAACTGCTCATCTCAAAGCCTGAAGATTCTTAAAACGGTCCTAACTCCGGCAGGGAACTGAATCATGTTAGAGTTGGAAGCTGGGGTGTGCACTGGAAGCAAAGGAGTAAGTTAAGAAACCCATGCATCTGAGTTCAGAGGGTTGAGATATGACCAAGAACATCTACATAGCCTCCTAGGTAAATAACTATGTTTTAATAAAAACATGGCTGCATACCTGAAAAGAGCAAAAGTACCCAACTATTAAAATGCCTGAAAGACAACCTAGAGCACTTTTATCTTGCCTTGTGCCACACCCCTGGCTGCTGGTCCAGTATTGTCACATAATGGAAAGCTCCTGCTAAATTACACAGAACCCAAGGCCTCCCAAGAGGCTGAGCAGCATTAAGTTGAATCTGCACTATTGGCCGCTGTTAATTCTGTGCTAAAATGCTAAGCAAGCAAAGAAAATGACCATGAAACTCTGGCTTCTGGGATAGAGAAGGACACAGAAACTAAGTTCTAGTTTTTGTTGTATCAATAACTAGCTATATGGCTTGGCCAAACTCTGTTTGCTTACCAAAGATAACTACATCTGCTGTATGCTACCAAGAAGCCTAAAACCTAGTGGGACAGAAAGCAAAAAGCAAGCAGCAACTACTACAATGTATGTAATATAAAACACATGGGAGTAGACATAACATAATGTATCAAAATCATGAAGCTGGTGAGGAGGGAGGTGGGACTTCATTCTAATGAGGGGAGATCACTGAAACTCAGCTTTGTCACCTGTAATGGAAAGGCTGAGAAGGTGATATCCAAGGACCCTGCCAGCCCCAAATTTATCTGTGATCCAACAGAAAGTGAAGCCAAGAAATTCTCAAAAGAATCTTCCCTAGGGTTTACCATAGCCTTGAGGTTGGGCAAATGCACCTTGTATTTCTTTTCTTGTCTTTTTGTGTGTGTGTGTGTGGTGCTTGGGAATGAACTCAGGACCTTGCGCTTGTAAGGCAGGAGCAGTGCCACTGAGCTACATCCTTGGCCCTACGCCTTGTATTTCTTCAAAGTTCTCTTCTATGGGACTTGAGATCTGTAAAAGGAAGAAAAGGAGGGAGGGAGGGAGGGAGGGAAGGAAGAAAGAAAGGAGGTTCACTGAAGGCAAACATACCAAAAAGTTGAGAATTTTTTTTTTCTGATGTTGGGAATCAAACCAAGGGCCTTGCACATGCTAGGCAATTGCTTTACCCACTTGATATTGTTAAACCTTTCAAATCTTCATAAGGACTATATTCATAAGACCCCTATACCTCTTACAGAAAAAGAACAAACTTATTTCACAAACATTAAGTAGTGACTTGTATTGTATGTCCCCCTAAACAACAATCCCCCCAATCTACCTCTCATTATGAAGAAGAATTTTGTGAGTTTTCTTTATACTATTGTCTCCTACTTACCTGAACCTTCCAACAAATCTGTTTTGATTCTTGGGAGCTTTGCTAGAAAAGTTAAAGAAGGTTAAAGAATGGCCCACTATGAAAAACTAGTCTATGAGGTGAAAAGTAAAGACAATAGCTACAAACAAACAACAATAGTTCCTTTTGTAGAAAGGCAGAGGTTGGGAGGAGCACAAGGGTTGTTTTGGGTTTTTTTGCAAGACTGGTAATGTTTCTTGTGCTGGCTATGTGTGATTGGTTTGTGAAAGTTCATGAGCTACACACTTAAGATCTGTTTACTTTCCCCATGTTAAATGTTACATATGTGTGTGTGTGTGTATAAGTGGTAAAGAATATTTAAAGGACTGTTAATAATTGAAACTGCTCAGAGCTGGGGATTTAGCTCAGTGCTTCCACCACCACCTGCCTCATAAGTGCAAAGACCCGAGTTTGAGCCCCAGGACCAAAGAAATATAATAAAATAATAATAATAAAAAAATAATAATAATAATAGAAACATCTCTGAGTTTTCAGAAGTGGGAAACAATTAGAAATTACATGTGTGGCTAGAGTACCCAAGATGGCTGGGCTCAGACTTGCTATCTAGACCTTCCACCTTCTAGTGAGTCAACATATGTTACATAACCCACACATGTGCAGTAAACACGTAAACAAGTAGTTTGTGTTATATAACTTTTTGGCAACATGGTCACTTTGTATAATACCATATACAAAAGTGTGGGACTTTCCAGGGTTGCTCCCCATGCTGCTGAGATATTAAAGGTATGTTCACATTCCCACAGCTCCATGTCTTTTCTCTGGGTTACCCTAATCTCAAGTGAACCTTCCCAGCCTGGGCTGGTGGCAGAACAATTGGTGTAGTCGGCAGGATCTTCCACAGCCTGGTGTGAAACCCTCAGCTCCCCCGGTGAGTAGGTGGTACTCTCAGCGTGGACCCCCCTCCTCAAGCCTGGTGGATGGGACACCTTTTTTCATAGACAAAGCCTTGCATGCTTTGGAAGAGATCTTGAAGAAGAGTATTCATACTGTTGCTGAGGTAATGGGGCAGATGTTTCTTACTACCTTTAGGGCTGAGACAGAAACCTAGTTAAGACGAGACACCTGCATCAGGGAGTTGAGGTAAGAGATAGCTGTTGCTCATAAATTGCATCCAGGAGTGGACACTGGTGAGCTAATAGTGTTAATGGACATGGACAACTCAAATACTGAAGATATTGAGCAATTCCATGCAAGAAGGCTGTCCAGTAGTGGTACATAAAATGAAGCAGCAGCAGCCCGTGGCACCCAATTGGTGCTAAAGTATCTCAACTACAAGGAGGTACTCCTGTATTGGAGACATACACTTTATATTCCTTAGGGATGTTCAGAAGTTGCCCCTACCTTAATGCTATGACCCCAATAGCAATCTGTAACTTTAACAGGTAGGCGTTCAGCTTCTTGTTGATCTTGACCTGGCTGACTCTTGCCCCCAATAGGTCTACCCATATCTGTGTATGTGTGACCTTCGTGGGCATTCTTCTTTGCCCCTTTCCTTTCTCTGTCTGGCGTGTCTGTGACACAGAGTGGACATAACAGCCCCACCTTCTACTCTCTGTCTTCCTTAGGCTGGCCACCATAGTAGTCACTTCATTAATTCAGCCCCTCACATAGGAAGCTAGGATGGCCACAAGCAACCCAAAGGGATAGAGCCAGAGGCAAGCCCCTGTAAGAAGTGGTGAGCCCCTACTCCGGAAGAGCTTCATACACTGATGGCTCAAACCATGGGCCACCAGCTGCGGCAGTACAGCCTTCAACTGACATCATAGGGTTTGACACAGAAACAAGACAGAGCAGCCAACGGGCCACACTAGATGCTGTATGGTTGCTAATGGTACATTAGCTGTTATGCTTTGTATCAAGATGTCCCCACAAAGCCTCATGCGGTCAAAGATGGGGCTTTTCAGAGGTAGCTAGACCTAGAGTGTGTGATTCTGGGATGAAGGGTGTGATGCTGAGATGAAGGGTGTGTGATTACTAAATTAGTCCACTGATTGGTTTGGCATAGATTTGGGTGTGGATAGTGGGAAGGCCCACTCTGGATGTGAGTGCTACCTGCCTTAAGAGTGTGTGACCTGGATAGAATATAAGGGACAGAAAGAGGGCTGTTGCCATTGCTTGCTGCTTGCTTTTTTCATAGCCTTCTGCCTTCTACCTTTCAAGCCAAGAACTGTTTTTTCTCCTCTGTGATGTCTCTCTGCCATGCCACCCTGCTTTGGAGCCAGCCAATTATGGAGTGAAACTTCTACAAACTATAAGCCAAAATAAGCCTTTCCTCCTTTAATTTTAGGTGTTAGGTGTTTCATCTCAGCAATGAGAAAAGTACTAAGATGTTGCCATCCCCACTCACAATTTGTATTGATAGCTGGGCAATATACAGGGGCAAATTACAGCTCATCACATGGTACTTGAATGACTGGACTGTGAAATATTGCCCCTCCTCTCAGGCTAAGCCATTTCAGAATATTTGTAGGCCTTGAGCCATCAAAAATGTAACAAGAGTATCATGTCACTGGTCATAGCCCTTTAGCATCCCCTAAAAATGATGAAGCAGATACCCTGACCAAGATGAAGTGACTAGAAGTTGCAGGGATGGATGCAGGCATTTGGCCACATTGATGACTGTTGCACATGGGGCAAAAAAAAAAACTGTGTTGGCTATGGTGCAAGCTTGGGATCTGCCCATGATGCTGGCCAATTTCCAGGCTGCCTGCAAGTAATGTCTAGTGTGTTCACACACACTCCTGAAGGACGAAGGACCTATGGCATTCACATAGAGGGGTTCCCAGCATGATCACTGAAAACTTCATCTACTGTACCCAGTAGCTGAGGCTTTCAGAAGAGCAAGGCATGAGTAAACTGCACAGCATGGCGGTATTACCTGCTAGCTCTTTTCCTCCTCTGGGTGCTACCATAGTTACTAAAGCTAAAGTTACTGCTCTTGCCTTGCATACCACCTATTCTTTTAATTATACTCAATGGCCCTTAGGATTGTTAAATGAAGTAGAATAGGATGGCCTTAGATATTCTCACAGCCTTGTCAGGTGACATTTGTGCCTTCTCAATGTTGTGTATATGTACCAGATAAAATATGCCAATGTCAGTCAGGCATTGGGTGCCTTGGCTGGAGAAACTTGATGGCAGATTCCCTGCAAGAATGGTGGTTTGGGCCTGGGATTTAGCTCAGTGGTTCTGCCACCTGCCTCGCAAGAACAAGGACCCGAGTTCGGTACCCAGTACAAAAAAAAAAAAAAGAATGGTGGTTTGCAGCGGCATTATGCTTTGGCTACACTGAAGTGGGAGGGGGTTAATTAGCAGCTTGTTGCTGCAGCTACATTGTTGTTGTGAATTACGTGTACAATCCTCCATGCTTCTCATCAAGGAAACCACACAGAAGATTCATGGGTTGATTGTGCAGCAAAAATCCCTCTGGAATGGAGTGTGTGGTCAGAGTACAAAGACGGCCAGATCCAGGCTTTCCACCGAGGCCTTCCACTTGCTAGTGAATCAACATATGTTATGTAATCTACACGGGCACAGTATACATGTAAACAAGTAGTCTGTGTCTACATAACTTTTTGCCAGCTTGCCAGCTTTGTAAAATATCATACGTAAAAGACTTACTAGTGTTGCTCCTCATGCTGCTGAGGTATTAAAGGAAAGTCAGATATTCCCACAGTTCCGTGTCTTTTCTTTAGGCTGCCGGAATCTCAAGTAAGCCTCAAGTGGAACTGTGTCAGAACATTATACTTTTGATGCGACCTAGGATTCTTATCAGTCAAACGCTGTGAGTGGCACGTACACTTCTGCCTTTCTTCCAACCCACTTCTCATGCTAAGATTCCAAACAAGTGGCAAGTTAGGGGGGAAGTGATGCAGAGATTATGTCATAAGAGGTTCCAATGAATTTTGTTTTACAAATGAAAACAAATTCAAGCTGGGCGTGGTGGTACAGAGAATCTGTAATCCCAGCACTCGAGAGGCTGAAGCAGGAAGATGTGAGTTTGAGGCTGGCTGGGCTATGCAGTAGGAGGACCTGCTGGGAGTTCAAGGCCATCATGGAATAGTGAGACCCTGTATCCAAAAAAAAAAAGTCTTGCTAAGCTAGCAAGACTCCCAAGAAAATGTTATGTTAGACAGTGACATCTTTGTTCCTGAACTCTTGCCTCTAATTCTGGCTTTCTTGCCACTAAAGTTTGGCCAACTAGGCTGAATTCCCTATATCTGTAGGTGACTGGTTCTGTTTCACAGAGAAGAATGATAGCATTTTCTTCTTTACACAAACAGTATACAAATCAGGTTAGAACAGATAAAACTGTTTTGGAAGAAAGAACAAAAAATACTCCATGAATGTCAGAATCACAATTTGGGAGAAAACTGCATATGACCTTCCATTGTCAAAAAAATTTAATTAAAATGTTTAATTAAAATATTTAGCTCAGTGGTGCCGCCGCCAGCCTCGCAAGCACAAGGTCCCAAGTTCGATCCCCAGTACCAAAAAAAAAAAAAAAAAAAAAAAAAAGTTAGGTCCGGGAACATAGTTCAGTGGCACCAAGCCTGCCTGGCAAGCACAAGGTCCTGAGTTTGATTCCCAGTACTGAAAAAAATAAACAAACAAATATAAAGTATGTATGAAAACACTATGACTATGATATTAGATATTTTCATATATAAGCTATTTTCTCAAAAAACGATTTAAAGGAAACAAGTCAATGGAGAAACTTGAAAATGTACTTGAATGTAATTTTTATATCTACAGGTAAGTTTTTTTGAGCAGCCAAAGAATAAAAACACTCAGTCTGGAGTTAAAAATTCATCTGTTCTGTCCTCAAAAGATTCTGGTGAGGGTAACCCACTTTCCAGGTCCCCTCCTGCCTCTCAGGAGCTGTTTCTCCCTCAATAAATTTCCTACTTTAAAAAAAAAAAGTAGTCCGGTGTGGTGGCACACACCTGTGATCCCAGCACGCAGGAAGACTGCCTTGAGTTTAAGGTCGACCCGGGCTACACAGTGAGTTCAAGGCCAGGCTGAAATATGAAGTGAGACCTTGGCTCCAAAAAGAAAAGAAAGGAAGCCAGGGATTTAGCTCAGTGGTGCCACCTGCCTCGCAAGCACAAGGTCCTGAGTTTGATCCCCAGTACCAAAAATAAAAAGATTCTGAGCCGAGCATCGTGGTGCATGCCTGTAATCCCAGCACTCAGAAGGTTGAGGCAGGAGGATCGCTGTGAGTTTGAGACCAGCCTGGGCTACATAGTGAGTTCAAGGCCAGTCTCAACTACATAGTGAGACCTTGTCTCAAAAAACCAAAAAGAAAAAAAAAAAAAGAAAGATTCTGGCGAACTTAATAATGCAGGAAATCACGTTCAAATTGCTGTTCACTGTAAACCAATCCTTACAGCTGGATGCAGGGTTAATCACAAGGTCACAGAAGACCACCCAGCAGTCAGTGGAACACTGAGCTGGCTTTCCCAGTCTGTGTGTGTGCCTCTGCTCACCTTCATGGTGCAGAGGCTGTCGTGAAATTGCTTGGCATAAGTGTGGAGGAATGAGCGTCCTGAGTCTCAGCCTCTCATTCACAGAACAGGTGGAGCTGAGACAACTTCTCTGTCTAAAATTCTCAGGAGAGGCCCCAGACACCTCAAGCTGAGGACCCAATTTGCAATACCCGATCCCTCGAGGGCACAGACATGGTCCACAGTCCACACTTTGGCATCGGCCTACACGTGAGGAGGCTGAGTCTGCTCAGACCTCGCAACTCCTTCGGGTATTACAGTTTAAAGGACAGTGACGGAATATGAGATTTAAGACAACAATGCAATCTCAAAAATAAAAATAAAACCGAAATATTAAAAAGTAACAGAGCATCTCCAGTTTGCCCCTCCTTTTTCTTATTTTGCTACATTCAGTACCAGCTTATGACACAGCCAGACAACTGATTCTGTTCTCCCACCTTCAGGCATCAGCATCCCTTTGCTGAAACTTTTGTAGCTTCTTTCCTTGGACACTTCTTTTACCACAAATGTCCCTTCCCTGTGTGTGGGAGACTGCAATATCGATTATGCCCCAAAGCAGACTGTGAGTAGTGCCGTCTGTAAAGAGTTAACCTCACAATCTGCTTGTCTATAGAAGTGAGTCCAGCCAAAGCCTTCATGCAGAGGTCAGAGTAACTCACACACAAATTCCATTCCCAAAACTAGAACCTTCTTAACTAGAAGGACAATTTTCTAATTAAAGCCATGTTTTTTGTCTATTCTGCTCCTAATTTGAGAACGCTTTTTCTTGCCTTTGACAAGCCTTGCTTACATTAATTTCCATAGAAACTGCACAACTGCGCATCCTCACGTGAAGTACTGCCCTTGCATGTATCTTGCCCCAAGTGATTACTAATAAAAATCAGTGGCTTGGACTGGCCAGCACCTTTGTCAGTTGCATTGGCACTGGTCATCCTGGCACCCTGCTTTCTCATCTGTTCTTTTTTTTTTTGGACCAGGGATCGAACTCAGGGTCTTGCAGATGCAAGGCAGGCACAGTGCTACTGAGCTAAATCCCTGGCCCATAGAATCCTGCTTTCTGTCTCTCTTAGTTCTTTTAATTGTTTTTTCCTCAGGCCTGCATCACACAGAGTAGGGGACCGGAGCCTCCTGTAGAAGTTTCTGGCAACATCTCAGGGGCCCCTTTATCTCTCACAGCACACCCAAATTTCCCTGGCTGCACCCACCCCATGCATTCCCCACTTCCCTGACTAGCCCTGCCTCTCCAGTCTAGCTGATATGTTCAATGTAGTATGTCCTAGATCTTACATGACAGAAAGAATAGTCTTTCTGAAAGGTTTGTGTGACATGATTAAATACAGCACTGTACTGTGTTCTTCAAAAGACCTTACATTTTGTCACTATTGTGCTTTTACATCAAATCATTCCCATCACTGTCTCTATCCTTTAGATGTCTGTGGTTTCATATAGTTAGTATACTTACTACAGATATTACATTGGTGTCATAACACATAAAAAACACCTTAGTTCTGCTTTATTAGGTCCTTGAGCTCAACTTGGTTCTCTAGGCCATTTAACTTTCACTGTAAAATTTCTCAGTGGTCATAGATGCATCAGAGCTTGCGTAAAAGGCTTCACTAAGCTCTTGCTACTCATATTTCCTGGGGGAACAGTGCCTGATACTTGATCATAGTGCAATCAGAGTCATAGACATTTGGTGGTGTTGGGATAGCACGAAAGGGACAAAAGGCAGTGTGAGAAGAAATGCATGTGCATTCTGTCAAGAGTGGCCATGCACGAGGTTCAGTACACAGAGCAGAGATCATGTTAATTTAGCCTGGGCCCAGCCACAGCCCTGGATCATCCACCCTGGTGCCCACCCACTCAAGAGTAACACTTGATGAGGAACAGATTCTAAAATCCAAAAACCCATGCTACAGATTTTCTGCCTGAGATAAATGATAACTGCAGATGTCCTATTTCTTTGGCTCAATGATATCCCACTATCCTGATCAAGAGCAAATTACCAGGGGAAAATAGTCTTCAGTTATAATCTGTAAATCTATAAACTGAGTAAATGGCAACTGTCTCTGGGTTCCTCTGGCATAGACCCAGCAGATTTATTTCTGGCCTAGAATATAACACAAAGAAACAAGCAGGAGGGGCTGGTGGCTCACCTCCACCCTTAGGTAAGGAAGGTTTGATTTCTTGACATTAATTTTATCTTATTTCCTTTGGATGAAGAGATCATCAGTAAAGGGAAAATGTGTGAATCTCGGAGTATCTATGCATGTAGGAAGCACAGTACAGTATAAGCGGTATGCTGCTTTCTCTTGACGTTCAATTTCCCAGAAAAGGTAGAAAAGGAGAGTGGATTAAGGAAATGAAAATGCCATAGGGAGGCTGAGGCAGGAGGATCACTGCAAGTTTGAGGCCAGCCTGTGCTAAAGAGCTCAAGGCCAGTCTGAATTACATAGCAAGACGCTGTCTCAAAAAGCTAAAAATATGGGCCAGGGATTTAGCTCAGTGGTTCCACCGCCTAACTCACAAGCACAAGGACCCAAGTTTGATCCCACAGTACCCCCCCCCAAAAAAAAAAGATCCCAGCCTGGACAATTTAACAACTTAGATTTTTGGGGGGAGAGGTTAGATCAGGGTGGACATAAATAAATAAATACATCAAATTCCTAACAATTCAAAGCTCAACAGCCCACCCAGAACCGTCCCAGGATTCCCTGACCCATTCCTGGGTTGCACCGACTCCAGTCTGCCACCAGAGGGCACCACACTGCAAGGTTCCTTACATGGTAGGGCCCTGCAGAGAACTAGGTGACCCAGGACTGTATGCATGGGTTGACACGAGGAAAAGTGCACTCTTTAGCTCTATGACTTTGGCCAATGCACTGGACCTCCTTTCACTGGCTGAGAAATTAAAAGACTGGGCTAGAAGATCTCTGAAGATTTTCACAGTTTCCAAGTTAAGATTTTATAATTAAAATTTTTTCTTGGGAAATTTTCAGAAATAGAAGAAACCCACAGTTGAAATCCAATTGCACCAGACCGAAGTCTGATCCCCTGGGTCATTACTTCAAATACAGGTGATGGTTCCTTCCCTTCCATCAGACTTCTCTGGTAACGGGCCCACCTGAGGATCAGTGGTAGTACAGTAACTAACATTTGTAA